TTGTTTCTCGTAGACCTCTAGCCGCTGGGGCTTGTTGGAACCAGGCAGATCCGTGTCGAGTTCTTGGTTTCAGCACTTGCGAGTGACACCCAGACTCCAGGACTCGGGGCGTCGGTGTCCTGGAGCCTGGGTGTCTTTGCCCCGTAAGTGATACAGTCCCGTCGCGCCTAGGTAGGTGGGGAGAGCGCGGCAAACGGCAGCTCCCTTTTTATGGTCCGGTTTCCAGCACGTCCCTACACAGCACTGCAGGCAGTGTTTTCGAGATTGGCAACATACGCCAAAAAACAGGACGGGAGTTGTCCTCAGTGGTGGCCTGGTAATTGCTGGCCGGGTGCTAGAAAGTTCTGACAATCGTGGGTACCTTTTTTCTTTAAATGTGTGTTCTTTGAGAAACAGGAGCTGCTTGGGCTGGCCAGGCAGATAGAAAGGGAGGGTCTGTGATGGTTAAGAACTTCCTCAAAAGGTACTGTCCCAACTCAGACGTGACCCAAAACTCGTTATAATATCATTAACATGGCATTTGCATTGCACGTTCACACACACACACACACACACACACACACACACACAAAATTCGTTATAATATCATTAACATGGCATTTGCATTGCACGTTCACACACACACACGCTTTTCTGTGGTGCTCCTGGGCAGTGATCAGGATGGAGGAACCGTAGACAAGGACTGCGCTGTGAGAATTGGGACCAGGAAGCCGCTGGGAAATAAGAGGGGCAGGTGGGATGCAAATAAGGAGAGGGCCCCTAGGAAGGAGAGAGAGACCCCAGCCACCGCCTCATTGCGGGCAGCCCACTGTCGGGTCCCCTCACTGCCACAAGAGCTTTTCTGTCGCTTAATAAACTTCATTTTGCCCACTCTTTGGTGTCCACGCCCTCATTCTTGGTGGTGAGATAAGAACCCGGAATTCAGGCTGATAGTGCAGCTGAAAACCCCTGCAACAGAATCATTTATAGCATGGAAGCTACTGAGTTTGGAATATGACAAGGGTATTTTTAACAGAGGCTGAAGAAAATGTATAATGTGGTGTTAAAAAAAAAAAAAGCAAACATGCCTGGAAACCGACTTATTTGAGTGGGAGATTAAGTTGTTACAAAGCAAGTGAGCTTCTTAATCTTTCAAATTAGAATTTAACCACCTCTCCCTAAACTATATATGCATATTGCACTTTGTGTTATAGAAAGCTCAACTTCAGATAGTCCAGATGTACTGTCTTATCAGGCCAAGACTTTTGAACACTCAACACCAAAAAAACAAACTGACCCGTGATGAAAACGTCGCAGTATTAAAATACATGCTACAGTTTAGCATTGTAAATGCTTTAGAAAGCCATACCATGGGCTGCATTACTGAAAGATACTTTCACTATGTTCCTTACCCATGTGTATAAGTAGATAAATGGCCTTAGTATATTTCAAGTCCTTAATTCATTCCCTCGTCCATGGGTGGGTGGGCACTCTGGTAGGAGCTATGCTGAGTCCACAAAGACAGAGGCTGCCAAACTGCTGTGCTCAGGAAACTTCCAGCCCTGGTAGAGGGACGAGGCTTACGACACACGGCTGTGGCTGCTCAGTGCTGGAAGGAGCCTGTGGAGCCAGAGGCACAGTGGGTGGTGCTAGCACCAGACGGGAAACAGCCTGATACCCCTTCCAAAAGGCGCGCACTCACACATGCCAATAGGCCCTGCAGGCGGGCCTCTCCCACAGAGTCCCTGGTCTGCATGAGCCTTGGGCAAGGATAAGAAGGCTTCTGGGCTTCAGATGCTGATCCCATGCGCCCATTCCCAAGACAAAGCTCTAGAAGATAAAAGGAAAAAGCAGATGCTCCACCACAGGCCTGCTGCTGTGCTGACGCCACTCACCCCCAAGCTGTGTCCACCAGGAGGAGCCAAGGCAGGGTGGCAGGGTCACCGCTCCACTCTGAGTCACATTCAGCAAATGCAAGATCTCAGATACTGCCCCCTCCTTTTCCTGCCACCTCTCAGCCGTTCCTCCCTGGACCCTCGCACAGAGCTGCCTATTGCACTGTCCAGGTCCTGCTAATTCCATGTTTGTAGTACTTGACTTTTACCAGACATGAGGCTTTAAGGAACCGTATGTGTACTCACTGCCTAGGTGAACTCATTCCTGTGCGGAGTAGAACACCTCCAGGGACTTCCACACCACACTGATTGTGAGTGAAAGCAGGAACCGTGTAACACAGGCAGAACAACACCTGAATAACTATGGTTCACATACGAATGTCATGTTCTACACTAAAGGTGTGTGAATGCCTTAGTTTTGGGATCCCTTTACGTTCTTTTTTGTTTTTCGTTTTTGAGTCTCACTCTGTCGCCCAGACTGGAGTGCAGTGGCCGCTCCCGGCCACAGCAGCCTCAACCTGCTGGGGTCCAGTGATCCTTCAGCCTCAGCCTTCTGAGTAGCTGGAACTACAGGCGCGCGCCACCACGCCCGACTAGTTTTTTGATTTATTGTAGAGATGAGTTCTTGCCAAGTTGCCTGGGCGGGTCTTGAACCCACAGGCTCAGGCAGTCCACTCACCTCAGCATCCCAAAGGTGTGGGATTACAGGCTAAGCCACCAAGCCCAGCTCCTTTACATTCTTATGATGAGTATATAGATTCAGAAATGAAAGCGATGTTTTTAAAAATGTACTTGTTTACAAAGGATATATTTGTTACATGTTAACATTATGGAAAACAACTATTTCCTAAGCCAAAAAACAACTTAGTGAAAAGAATGGCATTGTTCCACCTTTTTAAAATATCAGACCTGCTTTGGCTTATTGAGCGTCTTTAGCCACAATGCATTCCATTCTGCCTTTGGATTTAAAGTAGTATTAATACCAGCGGCTGACGTTAACTAAGCACTTAGTTTATTTGCTGTCTCTATCTCATTTAATTCTTAGCACAACCTGGTAGGTGAGGCATGGTGATGACTGTTCCCACTCTAAAGGTGAGGGAGGGACCTAAGGAAGGGAGGATAAGGCACTTGCCAGCCTCACCCAGTCGGCTACATGGGGGGGTTCTGATCAGAGGCTACACCCTCCCTGCTGCTTGACTGCCCTGCATCATGCAGGCGGGTACTTGGCAATTAACTGATGATCTGGAGTCACATTTACATCTAATAGTCACTCGAGGGTAAACCTATTTTAATGAATATTGGGGCAATGATGTTTGGCGTTATGAGCTGTTAAGTGGAGAAACCATGTAACATCCGTTCACAGAAGAACATGAATAACCTAACGACGGTTCATTTTCAAGTCAGAAATGGATATGATGAAATCCTAACTCCCAGTACCTCAGATGTGACTATTTGGGGACAGGCCTTTAAAGAGCTAATTAAGAAAAAATGAGACTAAGGATCTCACTAGGTGGTCAATCCAGCTGGTGTCCTTAGAAGGGGAAATCTGGGCACAAACAAGTACAGAGGAGCGACCATGTGAGGGCATGGCAGGGCAAGAAAGGCACCTACAAGCCAAAGAGCAGCGCTGCAGAAGTCACCAGCCCTGCCAGTGCCTTGAACCCACAGAGCGCTGAGACAGTGAACTCCTGTTGTTGAAGCCGCCGTGCTTTGTTAGGACAGCCTGAGCAGAGAGGGAGGGAGTCTGACCAGGTGTCCTGGGTCATGGTACACTGACCTCACATGCTGGTCCACACAATGAAACTATAAGACATCATAGACCATATGCTATCTGACTTTTGATACTCTTGATCTACTCTTAAAATTATTTTTGGATTGTAAATGAACAGCATAGCCAATTTGGGTATTAATTTTTTTTCTTTTTTAAGAGTCTCACTGTTGCCCAGGCTGGAGTGCAGTGGCATGCTCACAGCTAGTATAGCCTTGACCTGCTGAGCTCAGGTGATCCTTCTAAGTAGCTGGAATCACAGGTGGGCACCACCACGCCCAGCTAATTTTTTTAATTTATTGTCAAGGTGAGATCTCATCAAGTTACCCATACTGGTCTTGAACCCCTGGGGTCAGGCAATCATCTTGCCTCTGCCACCCAAAGGCTGGGATTACAATCGTGTGCCAGTGTGCTTGGTTGCAAAAAATTTTCAAAGAGAATTTTAGTAACTCTTACACCTGAGATTGTAACCAAAAAACTAAGAGATATAAAGAATAG